AGTAAAGCTTCGCCTGCTGGCAGTTGGTTACAGGATAGGGACGAAGAGCCAAAGCTGCATGTAATCCAAACTCATTGATACTTAAATTTGGAATGTATCTTTGAGCTTACATTTGAACATGTTGTGAGAACACAGACTCCTCTTACTTTATATGTGCTCATTCTGATAAAATGTTTGCCCTTGTATGGTTAAGGTATTTTACTGAGGCCTTAACGAGTAGGCCTGTCTGTAATAGGGGTGGCGGAGGGTGGATAACAAGCATTGTGCAAGTTCATTGCTGCTAAGGCATGCCCTGCAAATAGAGGCAGGACCTGACTGGGAAGTTTTAGGGGACAAGGGAGTAGTAGAGACACTGTCTCTTAACTTGGGAATGAGAACAAGGTATTCTTCCATAGGTACACTCTATAGTACTTCCCCTTAACAGAGTAATAGTACAATGTATCTTAATTGGCTACTTAGTTCTTTGCATCCTCCTTGAAACTACAAGATTTTTAAGAAAAAAAAATCTCATTTTGAAATAATTAAATATTCACAAGTGCAAAGAAATGTACTGTGTATCCTTTCCCCAACCCATCTCCTGCCTCGTGTTAATAACTTGCACAATTACAGTATCAAAACCAGGTAATTGACATTGATCCAATCCATACAGCTCCTTCATATTTCACCAGTTATACATGTACTTGTTTGTGTTTGTGTATGTGTGAATAGCTGTATGCAACTTTATCACATGTCCAGCTTAGAGTAAGGCTGGGTAGTCCTTAAACCTGAGGACTAAGAGGATCTAAACAATGATCAATATCTGTTAACATCACAAAAAGAGAGAAAGAGTAGTCTTGCCCGGCTTCCTCCAAACGAATTTGGTCAATTTCCTAGTCTTAATCACCAATTAATAGAAAGACATAGGATATAGGAGCTTATTTAAAAACTCCAAAGGAGGGATCTCTTGTCCCCTCCTGGCCTGAGCCAGGAGCTCTGTCCTCTCGCTTTATCTCTAAATAAAAATCTCTGCCTTGCTCTCCTAAAAAAATAAAGAATAAAAAAATTAAAAACTCCAAAGGAATGCATTAGCAAATGCAAACTGTGGAAAGCTCTCCCGCACAAACAATCCAGTTTCCTCAACAAATAAAGAAAAAAATATTAGACAGAAGGGAAACCTAGATTAAAAGACAGGAGAAATATCAACCAATTGCAATGTATGGATCTTACTTGTATTCTGTTTCAAACAGTAAAAAAGTAATTATAAAAATTTATGAGACAACTGGGGAAATTTGAACAGTGACCCTACATTATTTGATAGCAATAAAAAAACACTGACTTTTAATGTGTGGTTTGCTTTTTTGATGTGGTTCATTTTTTACAATTTTTAACAAACAATTCCTAATCTTTTAAAGATACCTATTGAAATATTAAAGGATGAAATGATTCATGTCTGGGATTCAAAATAATTCAAAATAATTTGGGATGGGAATGGGAAGAAGTGGGGATATGATGAAATAGAATTGCCCCTGAGATGACAATTGTCAAAGGTAAGTGTAGTTGTCTGGAGGTTCACTACACCATCCTCTCTGCTTTTTAATATGTTTGGAATTTTCATAATAAATAAACTTATAAATGCATAAATACATAATAAATTGAGATGGTGGTTAAAGACTCAGAGGTCACAGTCCATATTCCTGAATGAAAATAATTTCTCAGGCATAGAGATAGCAGAGATGATATTTTATGAGGATACTGAACACTGATCTGTAGGGTACTCACAATGGAGAACCATATTCTCCATGGAGAACACTGGCTTTTAAGCAAGAGTAGACTTTTTTTCTAAACATAGGTTTGGCAATATGCAAGTGGTTGACTAACTGAGGACACCAAAAGACATCAAAAGAGACCAGAAAAACTGGGTCTGTAAATGTGGTTGTTACGCCTTCCTTTTCTTTTAAGAAGGCTAGGTTTATGAGAAGCCTCCTAGACATGACTGCTGTCCTTCAAACAGCATCCTTGCAATAGAACTCATCCAGTGCAATTTTCCATTCTCACATTCCCTATTTGCTTACTGCTCTTAATTCCACTTTCCCACTCACATTTTTCAGTTTTTCATTTTGAGATGAGAGAGAACAATATTTGGAGATGTCCAAAATTTTTTTCAAGTTAAGTAATTCACTAGAACTTGTGTTTTATCTAGAATCTGGCTGTTTTGCACTAAGAAGGACACACTGAGTAACTTGTCCAAGGTTATGCCAAAAGAAATCTCCTCTCTTCTTATCTGAATCTTGCCCATCCAAAAGATTATACCTAAGTCCTAAAAAAAATGGAGTTCCTAAGATGAGTGTTATATATTCCATTTCCATGGTCTCTAGTTCAATGTTTTACAAATAACTAATATCCTACCTGTAACTCATTTCTTATGTAAGAATTTACTTAAATGTAATTTACTGATGTCAAAAAAATCAATGTAAAATTTAAACCCATATTTTTAAGTAATTCTTCTGTCTCTAATATTACTGCATTAAGAATATTATTAAAACACCATCATGCATCCTAATGTTCATTTTTACTAAATGCCTAAAAAGGTGATTGGGAACAGATCTAAAACCTGCTATGTGTTTGGGAGCAGAATAAGCATTGGGGAATCAAGGCTAGTGAGCACTTTTATAGGCAAGTTACATTTTAAGAATTATTTGCAAGGATGTACTGCAGAAATCATAACTGAACTTTTCAAAATACTTATCACCATACTTAGAACTTTCATTAGAGTGTTTTTCTTTTTAGACACAGTCTTCTTTATGATGGCCAGTTTAAAAGTTGCTACCCCGAGCTTATAAAACAATGTTATAATGTCTTCCTATCAAGTATTAAAACCATTCATCTCTGGGAAAATGTTATAAAGAAATTCCACTGCAGCAATAATTCAAATAAATGCAAAAAATGATATTGTATGATAGAATGCAAAAGGATTACAAATTCTTTGCAAGAGTGTATATGATGAAAGCAAAATACTAGTACAGCAGATACTAGATACACATGGCCTGTATAAATGTAAATCAGTTGAATTTAAGTAAAATTCAAAATCCAGTTCCTCCATTGCACTAGGCACTTATCAAGTGCTCCCTAGTATACATGGCTACTGGTTTCCATATTGGACAGAGCAGATATAGAACATGTTCATCACCACAGAAAGTTATCAAATAATGATGGTCTTTGTTAAAGAGACCACTAATGATGAATGGATGTGCATATCTCAGCTCATTTCTATCAAGTCACTTTTCTCCTTTGGTATGGGAGGTCAAATTAAACCTATCAAGTTTAAATGAATTTTCCGGAAAATCTACATTCTAAGGTAAATAGTTAAAATTGGGCCACAGCACTGCAGTATAGATTTCCTTTTTCTTCAGGCTACAAGGACAGTGAAATTTCAAAAGATTCCATTTCCTCAAGCCAGCGAATTATAACATTAGCCAGTCTTCCCCCTTCAATTCACATTTTCTTTCTTCATAAAGATCTATTCTAACCCTGCTTGGCTTCCAACTTTACTCAGCAATGGACTGACCTTTATTTTGTGGCAAGGAATTCCTATTTTAGAGGGCAATACTTCAGGCCTCATACTCCACACTTGCAAAGATTGCAACTAGCATTAAAAAACTCACTTTGTAGCCAGATCTACCTACTAGGTGAGAAGGCTCTTACACTCATTCAAAATTCCAGCAAATTCCTTAGTCTAACACAATTTCTCATCTGTCAATTCAGAAAGGTGCATTTTGTAACATATATAAAAAGTCAGATACATGGCAATGCACAAACAATACAACTTGATATAGCCATGTAAGAAAGGGAAAACGCCTGCAGTGAGACATTGAAAATGAAAGGAGAGAATTCAACAGAGAAACTGTGAGTGAGACCATTTATACTTATCAACGAACTATGCTGCAGAAAACAGACAGAAATACAAGAGTAACAAAAGTAAATGAAAGAAATACGGAAAAACTCACAAACCACTGGACTACACCAGTTGCATTTAAATGCAACCCCTAAAAACCTTGATGGAAAGTAATGCATCTGCATTTAAAACCTTAGATCAACCATATAGCTGATCCAGATGGTAAAGAGAGAGATCTATAATTACATGAGTATACAGAGAGTTTAAAGTACATTCATGGAAAAGTAAACAACAATGAGTAATCATTCAGTATTGAAAATAACTTGATTTTAAAAGTAGATAGTTCAAACATGAAAAATAAAAAATGAAGTCCAGGTAATGAGATCCTTAACAGAATACCCCAAATATTTTAGAAATGGATGTTTCTCTAGAATAGCATGTTGTTTGGAAACTAAATTTTCACAGTAGATTCCATAGTTCCTGAAAATTAATTAGAACCTTGAAATTAGCTACAGAAGTGTACGTAGTTTGGCAGCCAGAAAAGATAAGAAAAATGTCAACCTCCCAAGCCTTTCTGTAAACAGATTTTTGCATCTTGGAAGTTACACTTGCATTTAAAATTCTTTGCATTGTTTAAATAGGTAACTTATCTCTTTGCTCACTTGCTCACTCCCCAAGCAAGTCTAAAACCAAATAAATGGCTACAAATGTTTACCAATGAAATATTATTTTACAAGCAATATTTTATTGATTTTTTAAAATTTAAGAAGTTTTATTACACAGTCAGATAACTACTCCAGGCCCAAGGCCTCTGAAACATGGTTCTCTCTGATACTAATGGGTCTTGGAAAAGTTTGAGACTCTCAACTCATTATGACTTTGAGTAGCTGTTTTGTATCTAAGAATGAGAATTGATGGAGAGGTTGGGACTAAACACATAATTTTATGAAATATGAAAACATAACAGTTTTGTTATGACGTACATTAACAATCAAGAACCTGTTTCTTTTTAGCACACCCCGAAAAAGTACCTCCCATATAATTATTAAATACAAACACTCATTTATTCAGTACTCAGCTAGCTTTTAAACGCTGAATAAGAGAAGTATACAGTGAGAGAGGTACTTACATGGTTTCCTTGGATACTGGATGATGCCATCCAGGCCTATGTTTTTATCTGAAAGTGGTGCCCTGTGGAGAAACAAGGCTCGGTGAGTGGCTGCTTATACATAGTAAGTAAATAGGAACTTTGTTTATTTTAAAAACCATTTTTTATTTTGACCCAGATTTCTTTTTCTCATCACAGCCAACCCTTGTAAAACGCAATAATATGGTACAACAGATACTTTGAATGACTGTTTTAACACCACTTAAGAAATCGTCATTATTAAAGCAGAAGCTCAGAAGATTTTGGCTGAGCACATTACTCCTTGGGCTGCTTTATGTATCTTCACTACTACATTTATGTCATACATATCAATGAACACTGCCTGCCTCTCTATTTTCATTCAAAAGGAATTGTTCTCAAACCACCAATAAGGAAATCAATCCAAAATATTCACATAAATGATACCTGTCCTTACCTTAGTCAAAGAGGCAGAGGACTCTAGCTTTGGCCAGCTCCTCAATACCCAGTGTCTCCACGGACATTAGCTGCCATTTTCAGTGTCGTCGTGGGATCCTAGATTCCCAATAGTTCAAGTGCTATGAGCACACAATTTTGACATTCAGTCTCTCAGAACTACACGCTTTCTAATTTTGGTAGCATGATTAATCCCTCTTATGTGATAAGTTATTTCTCTGGATCGAAAAGAACAACTGAGCTACAGCAAAATGGCAACTAACTTTAATGTTTAACACAGTTTAATAACCTGAAATGGGGTAAGTATGTGCTGTGTTTCCATTAAAAAGTTTCCGGCCACAATTAATTGAACAAAAACTTGTCTTGTTCCAAGATTATTCTTGGAAATGTAATTTTAAAGTCTGTGTGAAATGAGGAAACTTACTTTTTTACCATATGAAAGCAATCTCATTTTTAGGAATGGTTTTTGGAGAGACCTCAGATTTGGTATTTTCCATTTGAACTCGCAGCGTAGGGGCTTGGGAGGGGGAGGAGAGGGACGCAGCTCTGTGTTCTCGCGCCAGCACTGACAAAGGTCTGGTTGTCAATGATACCTTTACAGCTAAATTTACTCCAGAGTGACAGCAACAGGTGCACCTCGGCCTGCCAGACACTTGTGCACAGGGATCACGCATCTTACGGCCTGACGATCAAGGGGGAAAGCCTGGGTCTTCATAGAAAAGGAGAGGAGGCAAACGCAGCCCAAACTGGGGGGTTTCTCTTCAAAGCCAGCTGGTCTGGCTTTATTCTACAGGAATTTTTTTACCTGTCAGAGTTTGGACAACAAAGCCCTCAGCAGGTGCTGACGGGTACAACTTCCTGGAGAAGCAGAAAGGCACTGGTGAGTTTCAATTGCCAAAATATATTTTTTTAATCTCTAAAAGTTGATTTTGTTATCTCGGAAGAGCCACTGCTGAGGTACCTACATTCAGAAAGCTGATGAGACCATGGGAATCAGAGCCAACTAACTCAATATGGGTTTGCCTCCTATAGAGAGTAGAGCTGTTACCATTTGACAATTTTTTAGGTATTAAAACAAAAAGTTTTTTAAAGGAAATACTTGATATTTTTAATGTTGATCTCTTTCATTATCTTCAATATCTGCAAGATGAAGAATGAATTACATGTATATTAGACTATTTAAATAAACACATAAATACCATTCCTCTCTTCATCTAATTCTGTCATAATCTATTCTGTGTAAAATGTTAATTTTTAATAAATCTCCAAATAAAAATGTGAAATGGTACATGCTCTTTTCAAATGTTTGAAGTGTTAGTATTTTTTATGTGTACAATGATAAGAATATGATTAGAAGAAAATATGAAATTAATTATATTTTAGTACATTTAAAAAATATACATATTTCACAGGACATTTAACAATTAAAAGTGACAACATTTTCTCATTATTTTACAAAGAGTTTCTTTTGAGAAAAAAACTTTGGAATAGACAACCGAGACAGTATTGAAGCATGTTTTTGTGTCACTGATTTCCAAAATTAGTACATGTATGTATTTGGTATTTTTGTTTTGTGAATTCAAACGTTTAGGCAAAAATATTTCTTCAGAATAGGATTTTAATTAATACAAAACATGGACAAATGAGACCACATGTTAGGGCATATTTTTAAAAAGTGATTCTATTTCAAGGACTCATTCTTTTAACTATGCTTCACAGCACTTCTCTACAAATTGTTTTACTATACAAATTGAAAACATTTATTTAAGCAAGTAAGGAGCTCAGAGCTAGGGACTATACATAGTAAACATATGAAACCATTTTAATAACCAAATTCCATATTCACAAGCAACATGGGCTAATGAATGTAAAAGACACACAGCATACATTGATCAAGAATGCTATAAATTATTATGCATAAAATCAATTTTCGGGGCTGTGGGGGGTAGAATTGGTGCTTAAGAAGAGAAAGGTTCCTACCAATATAAATTACTATGATGCAATTGTTTTATTCTGATGATCCCATAATTCTCAGCCGACATAGTTAATACATAGTTATATAGTGGGAAAATAATAAGCTCTGACTTTTTTAATGTCCACTGTATCTAAAATGATTTTCAAATCCATGATGACACAGATATGCCACAAATTTATTAGTATTATACTCTTTTAGACTGTCTTAATTGCTCTTTAAAATTATGAAATATTTGCACTTTAAAAATTACCAGAACTGATCCACCCAAACAAAAAAATCTAATGTTTTTAAAACATAATCTTATCTACATTTTAAGGAACCTGTATTTTAAAAAATTAAAACCCAAATCTGATTTTCATTATAAATTATTACATGTGAAATATGGGTACATTTTATTTGTTAAAAAGGAATATATTGTGGTTTCAAACTGCTTTTTTTGTGTGGTATTTTGTCATTCTTCATTATATTGATTTTGGCACCTGAGTAACCATGGTCATTGAACTTTTTGTTTTTATTGAAGTATAGTTGATATACAACCTTGTATTCGTTTCAAGTGTACAACACAGTGGTTGACCAGTTACCCACATTATTAAATCCTTACCCCAACTAGTGCAGTTACTGTCAACATAGGAAGATGTTACAGAATCATTGGCTATATTCTCCATATTGTATACTGTCATCTCGGTGACCAACTTAGATTATGACTGAGAATTTTTATGCCCCTTTATCACCTTCTGGTCACTGAATTTATTAGATAACTTCATTAGTGTCTTAAATAATGAGTATGTATTGCATGCACTTGATCATTTTTTCATTTCTCTGTTCTGTTAAATACTATATTCCTAAAATATCAGAGTACTCGCTTTTAAAGATAACTTACCACTACAAAATAGAATATACAATCTTAAGTCAACTTCAGAATTATATTTGTTTTTATGTGCATTACTGCTGGCTATAATTATTATATTGTTTGTCATTAAGTATAAGCAATATAAAAGCTTCTTCCAAACATTTTTATGACTCCTGTGAATTATTCAAGTGTGACTAAACCAATGTTAGTTTCATTGTTAGAAGCAATTTAGGTATAGCCCAAATATCTCTAAATAATCAAAACGTATCATTTTAACCATGTCTCGCATTGTGGGCTTAATCTAAAAATCCATGATTTTTTTTTCTTTTAATTATGAGAAGAAAGCTTTAATTCCTATTTTTACAAGCAGTTGCATGTTTGTCCTTTCTGATAAAACTTTAACTTTCATGTCATGCAAATACCTACCTATGCCAACTCCTTCAATATATGAGGATGGTTTCTTTTAATATGTCTTAATCAGAATTGTGGCTTAAAGTTGCAATGACTCATACATGCCATAAAAGCTTAATTTTAAAAACATATGCATTTTATGCATATTTGTAATACATCTTCATATCTTAAGGACAGCTTGTTTATAGTGGAGAAAAATTAAGTATTCTCCTGTTTCAGAAAGACACTTGAAAAACATTTTGTTTACCTTACATATTCATAGGGAAAATCTTGATTCTCCCAGCAACTACCTTCAGTAAATATATTGTGAATATCAATCATTTTAATTTCAAGACAATGAAGTTTCTAGCTAAAATGGTTTACTTGTAAGTATTTAAAGAAACAAAATATTTTGGCAGCTTTATATGTATATCCTCATTGACCAACCACCTGACTGACAGCTGTCAACTGTCTGTGGGCCAAATGCAACCCAGTAAAGATAAAAATTACACATTACTCATCCCTGCTGATAACACCTGGTGCCAGTAGGTTTTCAAATAGGAATAACTAGACTGTAGTTATAAAGAAGTAAAAGGGGAATCATTTTGACTTCTTAACATGCCTCCTTCACAGTTAACTTATTTCCCCTTCCTTTTCTTATTTATCCCCCTTCTATGTCCATATCTCTTACCTACAAAGAGTTAATTTCCTTAAAGGAACTTCAGATGCACATAACAAGTGTGTGTCTGTGAAAACACTGGGCAGCCAGATGACAATGCCATGTATTTCTTTCGATCAAATCTTCTCTCGAGTTCATGGAATCTTTGAGTTGTGAAAAACAGTCTTTGATGCTTTCAAAGACTCATTTTAAAGAAAATAAAGAAAGAAACACAAAAACTAAATCCATCCAACGTCATCAATGTGAGGTTGTAGATGCACCCTTGGGTTTGTCTCCCAGCTTCATACCAGTGATTTTTCCCTGTTAGACTTTAAATATGTGGACTCTCAAACTATAAGCAAAAAAGAGCATATGGAAAATTAACCTAAGTTACATTCCTTTGGAGAATGATTTTCAGTCACCAAACTTAACATCTGATTAGAGATACACATAGCTTATCAGAGCATTATTAAAATATAGTATTAAAAAAGAGCATAAACACATGAAAATATCTATGGTATAATTTTTTTTAGATTCTTTTTACCATTTAAACTGACTTTCAAACTGAAAATGTTGATGGTGTATGACATAGTAAAAATAAAAAATAATCAATGCAATATATATGCTTAGGAGATGAGTACAGAAATCAAAAGATCAGTATTTTTTGTTGATAATACTGCACAACATACTGCTTCAGTCAAGGTCATGAAAATATAGTCAAACTAGATACTTATTT